TTTTTGTTTTTCAGTTACTAAAGTCACTTTTCTCAAAATGATACTGGCATATTGCTCTCACCGCCGATAGACGCATATTGGTGAATGGTATGTGCAAGAAAATAATGGGGGAGGAGGATGGGGAGAGAGTAGGAGAGAGGGATTTAACTTTGACTTCTGGTAGCTTACCCATTTTTCAGAAAAATGCATGTGTTGGACAACCTAAAAGAGTCAAAAAATATTTTTTTGGGCGTGAAGAATTATCATAAATGAGACCACGTCTAACAGTTCGTGTTACTTGTCCTGCTGCTGCAACCGGTGGAAGTCATGCACTAATAGATAGTATCCGCAAGAAAGTGGGCAACCACAATCAGATGGTCTCGAAGAGGTAGCGCGCACACATCAAACAGGAGACAATGAGTACCAGCTGGGGTGCGCAATTCCTAGAATCGGAGGACAAATAGCTGCACTAGGCATATTAATGCTTCCTAGTAACATACACATCACTAGCTTGAGATAGCTACGTTGACTAATCAGGCGGCTTTAATGATAATTTCTCAAGCTGTATGTATTATCTTAAGCTGTTAAATTGAAGATTTGATTACTAATTTCAAGGCCATTCGAACTGTTTAGTAACTCTATAATAGCAGAGCAGAGTTGAATGGACATAGGATTATGAATATGAATTTCAGAAAAAGTAGTTTAGATGCTTTTGCAGCTGATATGAGAATTACCTGGACATGTGGGAGTAAAACATCGAAATACGATAAAGTTTGCGGTGATGGGCCAGATAAGCAAACAGATGGACGTTGATGTACTGACAGTGGATTATCCCTCGCTTCTTGTCGACTTGGCGAATAAAAATTAGCATTTTCCGCATGTTTGGGTAAATTTCGACTGCTTCCCGTTGAACCCTGAATTCCTGCATTCTGGCTGAGTGCTGAAGCATCCATTGCTTGTTCCGGTTGTTCTCCTAGCCCGTCAGCACAGAATTCTCGGTTGAAAGTGGCATTTTTATCGCGATGATGAGATTGGGAAAATCTCTCTGACGATCCGAATGTTGACGGTCTTTTGAGGCCAGGAATTGTTGGCCTTGCACCGGAAGCCCAGTGGCTAGAGCCTTGGCTACTAGTTGTGGCCTGAAGCTGGTGACATTGCAACCAGGACGGTGGATGATCAATTAACCGTTCCACCGAAAAATTCAACGATGCTCGAGGCATAATACAGGTAGTGCTGGCAGCTGCACACATCGACAAGATTTTCGCAACTTCTCACCTTGCTGCTTCTCGCTCACTTTAGGTTGTCCCACCATCCTAGGCCAGTCTCTTGCCTGTCATCATCGGATCTCAACAAAAGAGAAATACTGCAGAGAGAAGCAGCAGGGGCAGCAGCAGCAGAAGACCCTCAGAGTCGCTCCCCTCGCTCTGAGTATCCTCAATTTCCAGTAATCCAGGCGACCAATGGTGCTTCGGGAAGGGTGGAGCATCCACTTTGTTCTGTAGCTTTCTCAAGGCGATAAACGAGCAGCAGCTCGTGCTCGCAAAGTTTCTGCTCCGCCCTGCAGCAACACACATACGAACACGGCGGCCATGGCAATCCACCATAAAATTCCATCAGAATTTTTTTTACTACTGCTTGACTGTTTCTGTGATGTGAAATATCGCCCAAAAGTACCACTTCACCAGTGCGGCAACCAATCCCTTTGCGATTCATTCATTTGTTTCGATGGTAAATTGGTACTAGCACATGGCAAACGCCCGAAATAGGCATCCGCTTACTTCTAAGTAACTCCCAGAAGGAGGGGCCGTAGAGAGCTGCGGCAATGAGTGATTATTGTCAACACAGTATTATATAACATTTGGGCAATGTCTGGGGCCTTCTGACCTTGCTATGATCGTTATTTCTTCAGTGGAGATTGCTTAGTATGATTGACTTGCCATGCACTTCCTTTTTCGACTCACCTCTCTCTGCAAGTTGGCCTTTCAAGTATACAGTTTTTTTTT